TTGGTGTCACTGGGGATGTCAGTGACAGTTAGTCATTTCCCCCTCCAGTGTCAGTATGCCTGCCGCAGGCTTGCAGTCCCTCTATAAGTTGCTGATCGCTGTCATTACTAGTATATATAAAAAAAAAGAAAATTCCAGTATATATATCACCATTTGTAAACGCTATAACGTTCATGTAAACCAATTAATTTACACGTATTTGGGATTTTTTTTTAGCAAAGACATGTAGCAGAATACATTTTGGCCTAAATTCATGACGAAATTTTATATGTTTAAATTTTTTACTGGACATGTTTAATACCAAAAAGTAAAAAATATAGTGTTTTCTCAAAATTGTCCATCTTTTTTTTTATAGAGCAAAAAATAAAAACTGCAGAGGCAATCAAATACCACCAAAAGAAAGCTCTATTTGTGGGAATAAAAGGACATAAATTTCATTTGGGTGCAGCGTTGCATGACCATGCAATTGTCAGTTAAAGTAACACAGCGCCATATTGCAAAAAATGGTTTGATCAGGAAGGGGGTTAAGAGAATTCCTTAGGGACCCCCAGGTCACCAGAACTAATCCCCCCATTGGGAAATCTCCCCTCTATTACTTTTCTGGGAAAAACCCAAAATTTTAGATTTTCTTTACTTTCAATGATAATGGTAAAGAGGACAAATAGAGAGGGTGACTCTCCCCAACGGGCACACAGATGGAGACGTATAGAGTGAGTTATACACACATGGAATTGTACCCTGTGCCTGAAGGTCAGCTTGAATTTGTCTGGATGTGGATTGAGGTTCTTTATCCACCATTCGAACAATCCATTGCAATCTTTGATCAAGTTTTTCCCTTTCATCCACAGCCAGGGAGATTAGCCATGGGTGCCATGGGCTGTAAACTTCTTGACAATGTTGCCCACAGTGGACACAGGAACAGTAAGATCTAATTGATACAGGTAAGTTTAATTACAAATTACAGGAGCATCACAAACTTGGAATGCAATTATTTCTTACAATTTTTAGAAGGTGCCAATCATTTTGTCCAGTCCATTTTTGGAGTTTTGCGTGGAATGTGCTAGATTTGGCTTTTTGTTTCTCCACTTTTTTGTGTCACACCAATACAAACATAAGAAAATAAACACGAGACTGCCTAAACATTTATAATTGCAACAATTTTCCGGGAGAAGAGGTGCATTATCCCTTTGGAGGACCAAGGGACGTATTTGTCCCATGTTTTTAATTGCCTGTATCATCTGATTAAGAACTTAAAATACTTTTTTTTTTTGGTTTGAGTCAAAATATTAGTTCTTATCAACAAATGGATCTAGCTTTTTGCCAATTATTTCATGAAATGGCTTAGTTACAGCAACTGAAGTGTACAAACTTTAAAAACAAAAAATTGATTCTGATGGCGTTCCGTATTCTTATGGTCCTCAAAGGGTTTTCTGACACAAATGCAGGGGTACCAATATTTTTGGCTATGACTGTATGTTTTTTTCATGAGTTGGCACACATTGGGGAGAATTCAATAAATGCGCTGCACCACCACTTTTCTGGCATTACTCCCTCTTGTTAATGTATTCACCAATTTCATGAAACACTTGTGACACTTTTGGTTCTGACAGCAATTTACCAAATTTAGATATTTCTAATATTTAGAAATGAGATAGTTGTAATTGTGAATGCATTGAATGTGACACTTTTACATTGTATAAGTTAACAAACTGCGCCAAAGTAATCCCTCAATAGCCAATCCCTTTCCTGCTCCTCAAAACGCAAATGCTAGAATGAATAGAGTGCCAATATGGAGCAGATAGACACAAGCTGGGGGAGAACTACAGGCTCAGGTCTGGCCACTGAAAAGAGATTCACAGAAAAGCGGCTACATAATGAACAGAACGTGACACTAAGGGAATAATTTCCAAAAATTATGCTTTATTACACACAAATGAATATGACATATGGGCATTTGCCCTGGTTTACCATCACCTCAGTATGAGACAATACACACAGACCTAAAACCATTTAAAATGACACAAAAACCGGTCTAAATGTATGTGGAGCAGGGAAAATGGCTACATGAGTCTAGTGTCCCTGCAACACAAACACACAGGTGAACACTTCCCTAGGGAGGTGTATCCAAAAATTATGCCATGGGCATACCATAATAGAGGATATAAGGGATTAAACAGTAACCATAATGGCAAATCCCTATCAAGAAATCCAAAAAATTATGCTGTAAATATATCACATGTATGCAATGGAGCAAGCACAATATGCGTCAAAAAGGAGAGTAGCAGGCCTCAGACCTGTATGAAGGAAGACATAAATGTCAAATATATTGTACAATACATTCCTGTGCCGGCACAAGTGGTTGGGGCCCATTCATCTGTAATATAGATAGCTGTTTCCTAGAGCTCTTGGATGGGAATATGCCCCATTTATTTCCAGGATGGAAGAAAAGATGCACACAGCAGCACTCTGCTTGAAATGGTTTCTTCACCACTACATGTGGACTATACACCACTTTTTGTAGGAAAAAACAAGACACATCCCCATGTAGTGGTGAAGAAACCATTTCAAGCAGAGTGCTGCTGTGTGCATCTTTTCTTCCATCCTGGAAATAAATGGGGCATATTCCCATCCAAGAGCTCTAGGAAACAGCTATCTATATTACAGATGAATGGGCCCCAACCACTTGTGCCGGCACAGGAATGTATTGTACAATATATTTGACATTTATGTCTTCCTTCATACAGGTCTGAGGCCTGCTACTCTCCTTTTTGACGCATATTGTGCTTGCTCCATTGCATACATGTGATATATTTACAGCATAATTTTTTGGATTTCTTGATAGGGATTTGCCATTATGGTTACTGTTTAATCCCTTATATCCTCTATTATGGTATGCCCATGGCATAATTTTTGGATACACCTCCCTAGGGAAGTGTTCACCTGTGTGTTTGTGTTGCAGGGACACTAGACTCATGTAGCCATTTTCCCTGCTACACATACATTTAGACCGGTTTTTGTGTCATTTTAAATGGTTTTAGGTCTGTGTGTATTGTCTCATACTGAGGTGATGGTAAACCAGGGCAAATGCCCATATGTCATATTCATTTGTGTGTAATAAAGCATAATTTTTGGAAATTATTCCCTTAGTGTCACGTTCTGTTCATTATGTAGCCGCTTTTCTGTGAATCTCTTTTCACAACCCCCCTTTTTTGTATGCCTCTTTTGGCTACTGAATGGAGACCATACATTGGGTGACACGTTAATGTATTTAATAACCTCTTTAATAACTATCTTAGTATATCAGGTCTGGCCACTGACCTGCAATGCAATAGAAATAAAACGTTTGCTAGAAAGGTGTATAGCAGTGTGCAGAGAGTTCATCCAGACTTTCTACTGTTAACCCCTTTAGTACATGAAGGACTTTATATATATGTACAAGCTATTGGGATTTCAGCACAGGTATATCTTATTTCCATTGTGTTGCATTTCTATTGCATATCTCCTATAGCCTTTTCTGTTTTGCAAAGCAGGTTAGGAATTGGTCAGAGGAGTTACTTTGACACAGTTAGCGATCTTAAAGTTATTCTAAAGCCTTAAGGTTTTTCACCTTAAGGTTCCCCTTTATATCAGTAACCCCCCCTTACCATAGTATATTCACTCTGCAAAAGGTGGTCTGTAATCACCAAAGTCTCCCCCCACATCAGAGTTCCCCACATTCCCCTATAAATCAGTGTCCTTAGAGTTCGCCTTTACATCAGGAATACAGTGCCAGAGGGAACCCTGCATACCCTGATGTAAAGATGAATTCTAAAGTAAAGGGAAATGCTGCAGACTTGGGTCACACCAATACCCACCCTTTTTTATCAGGGAATACGAGTACCGATACTTACGGTCAAGTACTCACCGATACTGAGTACTGATACTTTGCGGTACGATTTGTGTCCATACCACCGAAAGAAAGCTCAATTCATGGGGAAAAAAATGATGTAAATTTCATTTGGGTGCAGCGTTGCATGACCACATAATTGTCTGTTAAAGTAACAAATAAGAAAGGCAAAAGAAAATCGTGCGCTGCCAAATAATCAGAATAATAATAAATGAGCTGCTGCAAACACGTTATATGTGTAAACATAAAAAAACTGACTAAAACAAATGAAAGTGTTTCTCAGCTAGCATAAATCAATACATGTAAATATATGAACAAAAACATGACTGATAGTCCCAAAAGATGATAAACATAAAAATAAATGCAATTCTTCAAAAAAAATCCAAATAAGTGAAAAATCTTCCTGCTGGTGATTACACCCAAAATCCCAGTGCTGTAAATCTTCAGTACATGTGAAACACCACATAGAGGTCGACTCTCACCTTCTTGCATGGACCTGTATGTGGACACAGGTCAAACAAAGCATCTCCCCTATTAGTGGGGGTAACACATAACTTGCTCTTCTGCGCACTCTTCCCCTCATGAATCACCACTGGACCTTCACAAATGGCACCCGATTTCAGCACAGCCAACTCTGTGGATAAAGCTCGACAACCACAAAGTAGACCATAGTGCAGTAGGCTTCTTTAAAAGGCATATGTTTATTAAAGCATATGAACTCACATGATAATAGTATTAAAAACACATGAAACAGCGCTCAGAATCAAACAATGGAGAGCTAGACCCTGCCTGTCAGATCGATGTAGGAGCGCTGACGTCACCTGACTTCTCCCCACACGTATTGTCACACACCGCGTGACTTCATCAGGGGTATCCTGAATAGATTCCCTGCAGCAGCCAGCAGGATGGAGAGTGGGGAGAGAGACCAGGAGAACGTGTGCCGAGAAAGGTTATGTTGCAGCTATGTTGTGGCTGTCTTACTGATCGCATGCTGAACTTCTCCATGCTGAGGAAGATTATGCCTTTATTCAGCCCACCTGATTACTGCACAGCTAGCTGGCAGGAGAGGAGGGGAGCACTGCGAGGGGACCAGAGGAGCATGGTGGGGGGGCTGACAGCTGCCTGCACAGCTATTCCCTAGGAGTCTGTGACTTTCTCTCTTTCCTGCCTTACTGAGCTTCTTCTTATGTTGCACACTGTTGCATAGTGCACCCCTGAACCTTGCACTCTGTACACAGCACACCCCTAGACCCTGCACTCTGTACACAGCACATCCTTGAACCCTGCCCTCTGTATGTAGTGCACCCCTGCAGCCTGCACTCGGTGTGTAGCACACCCCTAAACCCTGCACTCTGTGCACAGCACACCTGTGAACCATACCCTCTGTATGTAGTGCACCTCTGAACCCTGCACTCTGTACACAGCGCACCACTGAACCCTGCACTCTGTACGCAGCACACTCCTGAACCTTGCACTCTGTACGCAGCACACTCTTGAACCTTGCATTCTGTACGCTGCACACACCCACCAGAATCTTGCACTCTGTACACAGCGCACTCTTGAACCTTGTATTCTGTGTGTAGTGCACCCCTAAACCCCGCACTCTGTACATAGACCACCCCTAAATCCTGCAATCTGTACACAGCACACCCCTAAACCCTCCACTTTCTACACAGCACACCCCTGAACCCTGCACTCTGTACACAGCACACTCCTGAACCTTGCAATCTGTACACAGCATACTCCTGAACCTTGTCCTCTGTATTTAGCACACTCCTGAACCCTGCACTCTGTACATAGCACACTCCTGAACCTTGTACTCTGTACATAGACCACCCCTAAAAGCTGCAACCTGTACACAGCACACCCCTATACATCTGCATTGTGTACATAGTGCACCCCTAAAACCTGCACTCTGTACACAGCACACTTCTAAACCCTACACTCTGTACACATCGCAGCCCTAAACCCTGCACTCTGTATGTAGTTCACCTCAAAACCCTATACTCTGTACGTAGCACACCCCTAAACCCTGCACTCTATATATTAACTACACCTAAACCCTGCAATCTGCACACAGCGCACCCCCTGAACCCGGAACTCTGCGCATAACATACCCATAAACCCTGCACTCTGTACACAGCACACCCCTAAACCCTGCACTCTGTACACAGTGCACCCCTAAACCTTGCAGTCTGTACACAGCACACCTCTGAACCCTACAGTCTGTGCACAGCACACCTCTGAACCCTGCAGTCTGTACGCAGCACACCTCTGAACCCTGCAGTCTGTACGCAGCACACCTCTGAATCCTGCACTCTGTATGTAGTGCTGAGGCTACAAAAAAAAGGGACTGGGGAATCTGTCTTCAGTCTCTCTCTGGGGGGAAAAAGCAGTCCCTCTTTTGGGGCAAAACAAAGTGGTCTTTCTGTCAGGGAAAAGCAGTCTTTCTGTGGGGGCAAAGCGATCTTGGTCTCTTTCTGTAGGGGCAAAGCATTCTCTCTCTCTCTGTGGGAGCAAAGTGGTCTCTCTCTGTCAGGGCAACCACCCTTGGATCAAGTTAGCTGCACAAAGCACATTCAGCTACCTGCCCTACAAGCACTGCTGCTGCCTGACAACTTCTGAAGCATTCAGTGTGACAGTCAAAGGCTTTAACATACAGCTAGATCTTATGGTAAGTACACAATTTGTTTTGTGTTGTTTTTTAAGCATTTAGCTGCTATAGTCTCATTTTAGGTTTTCTCCCTTTCCCTGTTTTGTACAGGTAGATTTTTCTGGACTCTCATACACCACCGTGACTACCCTGCTCCTTTCAGCCTTCTTGGATCAAGTCCCTGCCTTGGGCAAAGAGCCAGCTACCTGCCTAGAAATTCCACAGCTATAAACTCTTATGAGCATACAGCTACATCTTATGGGAAGTATGCAATTTGTTTGTTTTTTGCTTTTGTTTAAGGATTTAGCTGCTATAGTCTCATTTTAGGTTTTTATCCTTCTCCCTCTTTTGTATAGGTAGATTTAGCTGGATCTCATACACCAATATGACTGCTGCTATTGACCGACTGTTCGACTGCTGCCTTGGATCAATTTACCTGTGCCTAACCTGGAAGCTTTCTGTGACAGTCTGATCAGATATTCAACACCATCTTCTGGTAAGTGCATGTCAATTTGGAAAGCCTCTTTAGATTTTTGTATATGTAAACGCAGATCAGTTTAAAAAGTTTACTATTTTGCCCTGCAAATCAATCAACGCATTGAGGAGCCAGCCAGCTGTATGGCTTTACAGCTGACGTCACCACCACCAGATTAGACAACATGATTTACTAAACGTTAAGTGTTTTTGTATTATATGAACACACCACACACATTTTATCTGTAAAGCCTATGTCATAAGGCAAATGGGCAACACAGACAAAATTATTTTTTGTTTGTGGACACACACCTACCTGCAGTGCATTTAGAGCTTCACATTTGATGCCTCTAAGTGCTACTAACATGTTTTTGTAACATTTTCCATAAGTTCCTAAGATCAGTTTTCATTAACAGCTATTGGTTTTCCTCTGGCAGGCATCTGCAGCACACAAGGCAGGTTTTATGTACTAGCTCATAGAACAGTCTTTTATAATATTCTTGTCTTGTTCAGATCCAGTTTGAAGTTTGTAACACAACACATTTCAGGGCTTGTGTTGTTTGTAGGGTACACTATCTGCACTGTGCAGTTCCATTTTAGAAATGGAAGGGGCACAACCACCTCCTGCAAAAAACAAAACAACAAAGTTAGGTTTTGTTCCTTTGTAGGCTCATGGCTAAGAGATGTGCAGTTCAAATACCAGTTAACAACGGATGCTGTATCAAAACAAAATGCAAAGTGTCTGTGGTGCAAAAGAGTGTTCAGCATAGCATATGGTGGTGTTTGTGATGTCCTCAGTCATGTTGCAAGTTCAAAACACAAGGCTATTGCTGCAGCTAGGCAAGCCAGTGCTGGAATTGTTAATTTTGCTAAAAAAAAAACACCACTAGATCCAGCAGTGCTGGCTAATAAGAAAATAACCAACCTGGCACCCCGGAATCATCTGCCAATATGTGTAATGGATCTCCGCAGCTCCAACAAGCATGGAAGCCAGTGTGCATTCCAAAATGCGGAAGTGGCCTGTGAACTTCTTGATCTCATTGAAGCTACTGCTAAGGCTATTTTTGAGCAGATTTAATGATGTTTTCTGGAAGATGGTATCCCCCTAAAAAAATGTCATAGTTCTTGGTACAGATGGTGCAAGTGTAATGGTTGGTCCAAGAAATTCTGTACTATCCCGCTTCAAAGTAGAGCAGCCTTACCTTTTTGCACATTCACTGTATGTGCCATATTGCTGCCTTGTGTGCTGTAGATATCGCTAACGCCATACCTAAAACTGATGAGCAACTTTGCAGAGACAGCCACAATTCTACACCTCTGTTCTATCAGTGGCTTTCTATGATTGACTCCTTCAACTGCTTTCTGAATCAATATGATGCCCTACTAAGTTATTTTCTGTCAAGTGATAATGCAGACAGTTTGGTAACTGGACAGAATAAGCATCAAGATATAGCATCCTATAACTAAATGCTACTTTGTTTCTTCAAGCAGCTTAGCCAAATTTCACCCACTACAATAAAATTGTCTTGTACTTCAAGTACTGCCAACTGCTTGCATGTTTTATGAGCTACTTTATCACGCAGACATGTTGGTTTCCATTCAAAATGATGCACTGATTCTATTTGATCACACTAATAGTGCAAACTTCAAATCAACAGAGAGCATTTTCATTGGCTACCAAACAAGGGAACATCTGTCTAAAGTAGAAGACTTGTCAGCTGTTCACCGGTTTATGGTGCAAGTAATGACATTTTACAGAGTAGTAACTGCAATTAAAAACAGAATTATTCAGCTGTTGGCTTTACTAAAATCTTGAAATGGTTCTCCTTCAAATTCTGGGAACATTATAGAACTTGCCCAGCATTTTCTGCAAATTGTTCCCCTATCTGAGTTTGACGCACCGCATACTGAATTTATAGAATACCAAGTGACAGATTTCAGTGATGTTGCTGAGACTCAGGCTTATGATTCTTATTGGCACATGGTAGGATAAAGCTGTAGCATCGATCCGGACAATCAGCTAAAATTTTCCTACCCCATGGTACAGCTGAGGTAGAATGTGTGTTCTCATCTGTAAAGTTAATGAAAACTAATCATAGGAACATAAATATAAAAGTAAAGTGCAGCGCTAAAGAAAACAAAAAAACAAAATAAAATAAACGCACATAAAGTCAATAAAAATAAGTCCGCAAAAATATGAGGGAGGGGGGAAGGGGAAGGCCCTAGGCCAAAAAAAAGTCTAAAGAAGGACGACTTCAAATGCCCATATACACTGATCAAAGATGTATATACTGCGGTAGAGATGGAGTTTGAAGATGTAGTCAGGGAACAGAGGTAGATGCAATCCCCGGATCAGTGAAGATCCCCAGATCAAGGAGACAAACGTTCCACAAGACAGCAAGGAAGCAGTCACAGCTCCACCAAAGAGAAACACCACTCCTTCACTTCATATCAGCGGCATCTAGGAGGAGATACTCCTCATAAAAAGAAAAGCCCATGGTGAGGTACATTTAAAAAGCATTTATTAAATAAAACAGGATGCATCCAGAGTATATATGAAAAATGCACACGCTAGTGAATAAACATGAAAACTAGCAATGGAGGCGGAACAGGACTAACCGTCCTGTCAGATGTAGTGGCCGCCGGAGCTCCCCAGTGCTCCGACGGCGTGGCGTCAAGGCGTGCGCAGGTTCCTCCTTACGCGTTACGTGCCAAGCACATCCTCAGAGGAAAGAACCGGTGACACGGTTTTCTTTCCTCTGAGGATGTGCTTGGCACGTAACGCGTAAGGAGGAACCTGCGCACGCCTTGACGCCACGCCGTCGGAGCACTGGGGAGCTCCGGCGGCCACTACATCTGACAGGACGGTTTAGTCCTGTTCCGCCTCCATTGCTAGTTTTCATGTTTATTCACTAGCGGTGTGCATTTTCATATATACTCTGGATGCATCCTGTTTTATTTAATAAAAGCTTTTTAAATGTACTCTGGGCTTTTCTTTTTATGAGGAGTATCTCCTCCTAGATGCCGCTGATATGAAGTGAAGGAGTGGTTTTTCTCTTTGGTGGAACTGTGACTGCTTCCTTGCTGTCTTGTGGAACGTTTGTCTCCTTGATCTGGGGATCTTCACTGATCCGGGGATTGCATCTACCTCTGTTCCCTGACTACATCTTCAAAAACTCCATCTCAAGCAGTATATACATCTTTGATCAGTGTATATGGGCATTTGAAGTCGTCCTTTTGAGACTTTTTTTTGGCCTAGGGCCTTCCCCTTCCCCCCTCCCTCATATTTTTGCGGACTTATTTTTATTGACTTTAATTTATTTTATTTTGTTTTTTGTTTTCTTTAGCGCTGCACTTTACTTTTATATTTATGTGAGGAATCCTTGTCCTATGTGTTTCAGCTGCTCGTCCTTTAAAGCAACTTATTTTCTTTGATTTAATCATAGGAACAACCTTTCCACTCCATTGTTGGAAGGACTGTAGTAAACAGTGACCCAGGAAGAAATACTAGAGCGCGAATCTCCAGGGGCTACATACTGAAGATTCGCACTCTGTGTCCTCTCTACGTCAAGCAATAACACTTGAATCTCTTCCTGCAAAAGCGGGAGCTCTTCTTGCTGCTGTCCAGCACCTCCTGTATCAAGGGGTTATTACCCTTGTACCAAAAAAAATAAATACTTTAAGGGCTTCTCCTCAAACTTATTTAAAATTCTCACAAACAGAGGAGTTAAACCCATTGTGGATCTAAAGACTATCAACTTGTTCCTTTGGGTTTCAACAGTTTAGCACGGAAACTGCCAGGTCAATCATTGCTTCCCTCTTTCCGGGGGATTTTGTGGCTTCAGTAGACATTTTTGGATACTCACTTGCACTTTCCTAAATCTCTGCATCATCAGTGTTACCTTCGTTTTGCAATGGATGCTCAGCACTGCCAATTGGTCCCCCTTCCCTTTGGTCGGTTCATGGCCCCCCAGGTCTTCAAGGTACTTGCCCAGTTCTGGCTGTGCTCAGGGGATTCATGATGTAGGTTACCCAGACAATCTCCTGTTAAAGAATAAGTTCTCCCTGTCTATCAGCCAGCATCCAACAGGCAGTCGAGACTTTGCAGATTCTTGATTGTCTCTTCAATCTAAAGTCATAATTGTGCACATCTCACAGACTGGAGTGTGCCTGAAGCTAGACATGGCCCTATCTAG